CGTTGTATGCCTTCATGTGTGCGGATTCCATCAGCACGAAGGTATGCGTGGCGAGACCATTCATTGGTGAGGCTCTTGCTGTCATCCGTTTTGGGCTCGACGCGAAGAGTCATAGAATCGTCGTTGTGGATGAACATATTCGCGCGGCACAGCAGTGGGGCGGTGATTCTTTGTTTTGATCCTTTATTCTGGGCCGTCTTACTCGACAGTGGCGTGATATCCTTAGTGGTAAGTAAGGAAGAAGAATAGGGCGGGTATACAATTTACAGGGTCGCTCATATCGACCCGTAGCATACATGGATCACCAATGATATCAATAACCGCTGTGTCAGCATGAACATCATCACAACCACAGAGTAAGGTTCGGAGAAGACATCTCGGATCACTAAGACTGCTCCGCTTGGCGCTTCAGTCCATCGGCGACCGCCTGAAAGCCCTGCTGCAACCCGCTAGAAAGGAGTGCGCGCACAAAATATGCACCGGGACCCGCCATGACCTCCCGCGTCTCGTACAGTGTCTTCCGTCCTCGACGACACTCAGCGCCTGCCACCGCTCCGCGCGCAGTAACCACGATGGCATCAGGTTCTTCCACGCCACGCGATGCGCTGCCGGGTCGACCGCGGTGATTAATTCGAGCGGGCGCGACGTCGGTGTGTGGGACCGGTCGGACGTCGGTGGTATGTGCACCTCCATGAGGAGGTACGATCCCTCGTGCGGTGTCTGGTCGGGCAACGGCTCCTTAGAAGAACTGTCCACGATTATCTGTTTGTGTCTGTTGCTCCCGTGTGTCAGCTAGCGGTGTACACTGTCTACGCAGGGACATGCACACCGTACACGGAGGTGTTCCTGAGAGTTGATACACGCCTCAGTATGAGCATGCCCTTACGTGAACGTGTGGGACTCGGACGTACCATTCGGCATAGGACGTGAAGTCGACGAGGATCTGCCATACTTTGTCTATGGGCGCGTCAATAACGGACGATGCGCTGATCATCAGTGGACCCTGGAAAGACGGAGATGGTAGATTCGACATGTAAAAGAACACTGCCGCGGTGAGCAGTATCAGGTGAAGGTCAAAGTCAAACTCAGATCGTCAAACTCTCAGCGTCCTCGTTGCATCATTGATCGAGACCACATCAAGATCGGACCCACACGCGTGCCTTTCCAAAATCCGGTATCCCTTAATCTCATATCAAAATCTTCTACAGGACGGGAACGATCCTCTTCTAAATGTGTTGATCTCCGCATCTGGAGAGTGTTGCATTACCGCTGCCTCCACAGTAACCAAGTTTAGCGAGTGAAAGTACTTTCCGGGAAGTGAAGAAACCACCCAGTTTGAGACCCGTGAGACACGCGTCGGGAAACGTGCGGCCAACGGCACAATTGCGTCCATCAGGTACTGCTCCAAGTTCTGACCGAGCAACTCAAGTTTCTGAGTTAGAGATTACTGCGTCTCCCGTTCCTGATAAGTAACGAGTTGAGCCATGAAGGCAGACCCTTATATCACCAGAACATTCCGATAGCATGCGTCTTGCTATAATAAGTCGGGACTCGGAGGGTTTACTTAGTACCGGCGCCGTCGCGTGTGGCCACTTTTCAATATAGTTCTGCAGTGGACATGCTTGTAGATATCCCGGTTTATCAATGACTTGCGAAGGTCTTCTTTTTCTGATGGCCACTGGCCAGAACACAGCGACGGCATCTCTGGTGTTAGTTCAGTTACAATAGTACCATCACGCAGACTGAAAGACCAAGGTAAATTCCCGAGTCTGTTCTTCAGGCGATAACCGCAAATGCAATCTCCGGCAGCGGACAATTTTGTAACCTTCGCGTCTTTTGAGTGTTGAAACGCGCTGACCCGCGCGGTCAGGAACGACCTCGCAAGCTCGGGCGCGCGAGTAGCCGGGGGCCGGAGGCCCCTATCGTAGTATATAACGACCCCGCGCGATGTACGTACCGCACGCGATTGTCCCTTACGGGCATCGCTACGCCCGTGGACAAACGCGCCCCGCGCCGTTCGCACCGTTGTTCCAACATTGAGCACACGAAGTATTATAGGCACCTCGTCGAGAAGGATACATCGAAGAAGGCGTATGAACGACAGTACGTGCGTAGGCCGCTTGCAGAGGATATTTCTGAGTTGAGAAGATGCGCTGTCATGGTCTCAAGCACACTCCGATCAACCAAGCATTTTTGTTTTATGAAGAAGAATTGCTCAGTAGGAGCAAGATGCAGTATATGTGACAGAATGCGAGAAAAATGCATGCGGATCGAGTCCTAAAGTACGACCTAAGGGGGTTTGTAAATAATTCAAGCGGTCCTGTCCTGGAGTGAGAGACGAGACAAAATGGATCGGTACCTCTATCATAGCGCAGCCTAATTTAAAATCGTCTTCAAGTTGCGCTTCGGCTTTGACTTCTATTTGTCCTTGGCCTTGGAGGTAGTTGGATCCCTAGAGGCTGTTTCTGAGGACGAACTGGGAGTAGGACTCATGGAGTCTTGAGATCGATTATTTCTTTCCCGTCGCGTGAGCTGTCGTCCAAAGTCAGGCTTACTCATGGGTCCCATGAGCACAAGGTCATCATCCAGCTGGTCACCATTCGAGGCTTCTTCGATCATGATTCGTTTTCCGATCGCCTTCGATGCAGGAGAGCCTACCAAGGCAAGCACCTGCACCTCACGAGCTGTGTAGTCATGCAGCGGAAGGGCGATTGCTGCCCGTGGGTCAACATCGAGGGCACCCACCTCGATATCCTCGACCTTAGTGTACTGCAGGGCGTCCCCTATGCGACGCATGAAGAAAGCAGCAACATTAACCGCGACAGTGTGATCAATCATAGCCATGGATGTGGCGTCGAACTCCACTTCTCTGTAGCGCACCTCTAGCTGCTCCCGCATGTGCTTCAGGGTACTTGCTATTGGCCGGACAGCCCCATGTAGGCGAGGGATCCATGCTGGAAATGTATCCTCGCTCGTCATGAGTGTGTGCCTGTAATGGCTTGAGTAGAACATTTCCACTGCACACATGCGTTGTTCTTCGTAGTTTCCTAGCTCGGCAGCGCCCATGGGCGGCATCTTTCCGCCGACGAGGATGACAGCTCTGTTGAAAATGAAATAAGCCGCGAGCCACCAAAGGGATTCGAGATCGTGGAGGGGATTGTATCGAAACACCGCATTTTCGAGAGCTGCATTTGTCACAGGTTTAATATCGTCAGCTAATTCGCCTGATTGAAGCATGTCGCGTTCTTGCCGAGCTGAAAGTTTTGACGTGTCAAGGACAGTCTTCGTCTTCGTCCCATTGAAGTAATATTTCATGCCTTCTACCTCGACGGCCATGAATTCCTGCGTTCCCTGTTCCAAGTACGTCAGATAACGAAGGTCTTCATATTGGATATGGATAAATTATACTCACTGTACGGATCTCATGATACCCTTTGTCTGGAGCGCTGACTTTCATAGTGTACTCGAGATCTGCGAGCTTGCCTACCATTCAGCCATTGCGGATGAACCCGAGCACATTGCCCAAACTGATATCGCAATGCACCCATCCAGCTTTGTGCATGATCTTCAAAGCTGAGATTGTGAAGTGTGTATCACAAAACCTATAAACCCACCTTATAGCTTGATAGTTAGGGGGGGAGATAAAGCACTTAAGTATGGGGAGGTAATGCTGTTAAGCGCAACAACGAAGTGAATAGAACTGGGGGACAGGGTGCCCCAGGATGCTGCTTTATATACATGAGGGAAAACCCCCCAGGGACCGGTAATGGACCCCTGGTACCTAGCTGGGTAAGGATTACTAAGTATCATGTGCTCTATGATGTCATATATGATGTCATAGTCTGGCCCTGCCCTGCCCTGGGCCTAGGGTCTAGAATTGACCGGCCTATGGCCTAGTGCCTGAGCCTAGCTCCTACCTATGATGTCAGAATGATGTCATGGTCCAGAAGGAGTCTGGTTTCTATCTAGAAAAGGTCCGGCATCAGAGTCCAGCCTGATGTGTCCAGAACAAGATCATGTGTCGCTTATTTAAGCGGATAACCCCTTAGATATGCAGCTGTACCCACTATGCGGACGGATAAGTAT